GGTCTGTGTTCCAAGTGTGGAGCTATTCTCCTGATCAAAATTGCTTACAGCTTTAGGCCCCTTTCACACAGGTAGATCTATCGGGTCTGCCTTTCAGTTTTTTTTAGACGGACCCACTTGGACCATCCATTGTGCTCTATGGAGTGGTGGATGTAAACGGACATGTGTTAGTTTACACCCTCCGACTTTTGATCCAATCCTATCCGCCAAAAAAAAAAAAAAAAAAGAGACGGATGGGGGATCGGTTCCCCATCCTTCTAGCAGATCGGATGACATTAGGATGTAAACGGACAGGTGGTCTGTTTACATCCGACCGCACCATATAGAACAGCAGGCTGTGTCCGTGTCCGTTCTGCAAGGGGTTAATGAGGTCTGTGTTCCAAGCGTGGAGCTATTCTCCTGATCAAAATTGCTTACAGCTTTAGGCCCCTTTCACACGGGTAGATTTATCAGATCTGCCTTTCAGTTTTTTTAGGCGGACCCAATTGGACCATCCATTGTACTCTATGGAGTGGCGGATGTAAACGGACATGTGTCCATTTACATCCTCCGACATTTGATCCAACCCTATCCGCCAAAAACAGACGGATGAGGGATCGGTTCCCCATCCTTCTAGCAGATCGGATAACACTAAGGTGGTCTGTTCATATCTGACAGTCCCATAGAGATCAGCAGGCTGTGTCCGCTCTGCACAAGCAGAATGGACACAGACCTGTCTTCCACCTGCTTGGCAGGAATCATTGGACAGATTCCCCGCTGAGCAGGCAGATCCACTTGGCAGAGTCCGCCAGTACGAAAGGCGCCTTAAAATGAACTGTGTATGGGACTTCTACTTAACCACTTCATAATCATATTTCACATGTGTGACATTTGGGACATTATTTAGGACTTCTTTTATCTGCATTATTGTATTTTGCTGTCTATCTACTTTCATGTTTGTGGTGTGAAGTGCTTTTATCTGATTGTTTTTTATGTGTATAGCGATTGCACGTATAGGTGGTAGCAGATCTTTCAATATCGTGGGGATTTGTAATTTATTTATAGCATGATGATGCTGGTTCATTTTCAATAAGCAAGTTGGAGGAGGAAAGGTGACACAGAACCCAGGAAACGCAGATGTCACCTGCCTGGCTGTGCAGCGTGGTAGAGGGTTGTGACTCACAAGGTCCTCCGACTTTAGCATGGTACTATGGGGTTCACAAGTCCAATTCACCTGCACTCTTCTCATAGATGGCCATAAATAGCTACAAATTAGAATTGTTTACTGGTTGATGGCATGGTTTTCATTATGTCCTACTGGTGGATGGCATGGTTTTCATTATATCCTACTGGTGGATGGCATGGTTTTCATAATGTCCTACTGGTGGATGGCATGGTTTTCAATATGTCCTACTGGTGGATGGCATGGTTTTCAATATGTCCTACTGGTGGATGGCATGGTTTTCAATATGTCCTACTGGTGGATGGCATGGTTTTCAATATGTCCTACTGGTGGATGGCATGGTTTTCAATATGTCCTACTGGTGGATGGCATGGTTTTCAATATGTCCTACTGGTGGATGGCATGGTTTTCAATATGTCCTACTGGTGGATGGCATGGTTTTCAATATGTCCTACTAGTGGATGGCATGGTTTTCAATATGTCCTACTGGTGGATGGCATGGTTTTCAATATGTCCTACTGGTGGATGGCATGGTTTTCAATATGTCCTACTGGTGGATGGCATGGTTTTCAATATGTCCTACTGGTGGATGGCATGGTTTTCAATATGTCCTACTGGTGGATGGCATGGTTTTCAATATGTCCTACTGGTGGATGGCATGGTTTTCAATATGTCCTACTGGTGGATGGCATGGTTTTCAATATGTCCTACTGGTGGATGGCATGGTTTTCAATATGTCCTACTGGTGGATGGCATGGTTTTCATTATGTCCTACTGGTGGATGGCATGGTTTTCAATATGTCCTACTGGTGGATGGCATGGTTTTCAATATGTCCTACTGGTGGATGGCATGGTTTTCAATATGTCCTACTGGTGGATGGCATGGTTTTCATTATGTCCTACTGGTGGATGGCATGGTTTTCATTATGTCCTACTGGTGGATGGCATGGTTTTCATTATGTCCTACTGCCATCTAATGTTTAAAGTGTGTGTAAACCCCATGACTGAATTTATAGGATTTCTCCTTTTTGCTCTGTTAAGTTGACCGTCCAGTCCAGTTTTCCGTTCGCTATGCGGGCTGTACAGTGCAGATGGCTGAATCTCCTGCTGCGGCTATTGTATCCTGACAGCCGGCACCAGTGTCTATCCGAATACCTGAACAGTGATTGCATCGGATTGGAAAATCTTCTGTCCGGCTCCTTTCAGGTTCACCATGAACCATTTTAAATTTGCATAGTATATGGCCAGTTTTAACTATGCCACTGAAAGCATTCTGTTATATCTGTTTGACTCCTAGATTGTAAGCTCCTAGGAGCAGGGCCCTCGAACCCCTCGTGTATTGTATTGTTACTGTACTGTCTCCCATTGTAATGTACAGCGCTGAGCAAAGTGTTGGTGCTATATAAATCCTGTATAATAATAATAATAATAAATAATAATAAACACAAGCCAACTGAGGTCATTCCAGTAATCCATAAATCTGTATAGTGTCAGCCGATCCACGGTGGATGGTTTTCATAGGGAGGCGCAGGCACAGTTGACAGGCTTTAAAAATGCAATGCTGCCACCTTTGGAATGCCTATGTTTTTCTTCTTTTTTTTGACACCCAAATGTCCTTTTCAGATGGAAATACTGTGCTGCAGCTGTGAGCCTAGTATTGGCATTCGGTTTTGGTGCAACCTTATTTACATGAATGGGTGGCGTTTGGCAGACCTGAACATTTGCCTGCTGAACATGACAGGGGATCATTGTTGCCACTCCCCAATGCAAAGCATCATCACTGCAACATGTCTATGCCAGTGTCCAGATGCCTTTTAAACTGAAAGGGGTGTTGTGGGGTGGGGTTGTAAAGACACAGCTTAGCTGCCTATTTTTACCACCCCTCAACCGCAAGTTTAAGCGAAGCTTAACTTCTTGCAAACACTGCTGTCTGTTTGCAATATAATAGCCCTGCCCAGTTCCCCACCGTGAACTACAGAACAATGTCTCTCTGCGTTATGGGGAAGAAGAGGTTCCGTAGTCCTGAAATACCTCCTGTACTAGGGTGACAACAATAGAGATACCGTACAGTGAGTGAGCACTGTCACCCCAGCAGGGGAAGAAGTGTTGTAGGCAGGATCACTGGGTGGAAATAAAAGAAAACTACTGCAGCCACTGTATCTAAGTAACGTGTTACAATGATGGCCAGAAAAATGAAAACTGCTGTGTTCATGCTAAGACGACCCTGCATGCATTCATGCATTCTCTCTCTCTCCCATATGTCTGTCTTTTTTATGTTCCTCCGAATTCCGCTTTAAAAAGTGTTACTAAACCCACAACAGTCAAATCAGTCTGTATATGCAGTAAAGCATGCTTGTTATACTCACTGTGGAACCAAAGGGGTTAATCCTCTGCATTGTGAAAAAAGGCTGTTTGATCCTGACTGCTCTGATCCTCCCCTTCTTTCAGTGCCCTCCTCTTGTCTCCTGATAAGACATATTGTGTGGAGTCACTCTGCACATGCTCAGTTTGGTGTGTATTGCTAGAGGTGTGGTTTTTTTTTTTTAACTTCGGAGAGTGCATGTGATCAGCACAGTCCAGACAGAGGGTCAGGGTTCATGCAGCCTCATAGGACAATCAGGGAGAATGAAAACTCCCCTACATGCTTTAACCAGTGTTCTGCTGGACACTGATAGAAGTCATAAGATTGCTCTGACTGCTGATGAGAAAAGGTATTTAGCAGTTTATATTTACTAAAATAATTACACTTCCATGTTGTGTGTACTGTGGGAGACCAGATATAGTGAATGCAGGGTCCGGGGAGACCGGATATAGTGAATGCAGGGTCCGGGGAGACCGGATATAGTGAATGCAGGGTCCGGGGAGACCGGATATAGTGAATGCAGGGTCCGGGGAGACCAGATATAGTGAATGCAGGGTCCGGGGAGACCGGATATAGTGAATGCAGGGTCCGGGGAGACCGGATATAGTGAATGCAGGGTCCGGGGAGACCGGATATAGTGAATGCAGGGTCCGGGGAGACCGGATATAGTGAATGCAGGGTCCGGGGAGACCGGATATAGTGAATGCAGGGTCCGGGGAGACCAGATATAGTGAATGCAGGGTCCGGGGAGACCAGATATAGTGAATGCAGGGTCCTGGGTTTAGTAACACTAAATTCTAAGCAGGTACGTTGCTAATCCTGTGTGCATTAAGGGTTATTTTTAATTTTGCTTGGGAAATACCTTTAAGCTGCCAAAAAAGTGGAATGATCTCACCACAAATTGGATATTTGGAAAGTATTCAATTGTGAATACATAAAACAATAGCCCTATGAAGCCCGGTATAACAAAAAAAAAATGTATAGTAAATAAAAAAAAAATGGACTTCTACAGACAGCTTATATTGTTGTATTGTTGTGAGCGCATAACAGCACACAGAATATTTCCTTTCCTACAACTGCAGTGAGTGGTGGGTTTCACTATACAAACGTGAAGCTCCTCCAGCCATGATGCTGCTCACTGATGGCAGATTAATCTGTCAGTTAGCACTTAGTGTCAGTAATTTTCCACTTTTTTTTTTTCGATAAACGTAAAAGACCCCCTTAATTTCAAATCAGAGTCTTAAGCATCGTCTTGTCTTGAGAGTCTGTCTTTATATACGTCTGCGATGTTTCCATTAAGAGTCTAAATAAGCAGACGAGATGGGACGCCGCTCTTTATCTGTTGTCAACATTTCACGTATCTGAAAGCAGATAATTGTGGTGCACGGTACTCACTTGCAGTGTGCGCTAAATGTGGAGAAAGAATACGAAGCCTGGAGACTCTACACTATATGAGGAGATAGTCTTGTAAAGTAC